AACATATACTTTTTATTCAACGTTTCTCCTTTTTGTTTGAAAATCAAGGAATGGGTAAGAAATGTTTAACGCCTCTGTTAAGTTTTTAATTTTTATGCATCTCACCTTCCCTTTAATAAAAAAAAAAAATCTAAAGTTTAATTTTTACAATCAGCAATTTAATTCAATTAAAAATAAAATTCTTTTATTTAAGTCCAAGGTGAATTTTTATTTCCATTATAAATCATCAATTTAAATTCTTGTGTGTTTTTTTTTTGGTACATTATTTTAAATTATTTTTGATTGTACGTAGTTACTTATACATATCACTGCGATAAAGTTATGGACATTAAAAATTAAAGTCACAATAATATCGCCCCAACCCTCTGAGAACCTGCTTAAGTAAATTGCCCCTTTTAAATCAAAAGGTCCTACAATGGGTGCCGGTGGTACCTAACCCAACACAAGGAGTTGTTAAATATTAAAACGATATATAATCTTTGTCATTATTACAAAAAGTCTAGGTGAAACACTTCTTTCCCAGTTTGCTCACTAAGAATACATTATCAGACCAATAATTATTAAAAATATTAACCGTTGTAATTGTAAATAAATACAACTATTTCTAGATTTAAAATCTACACAAATATTACGTATGCAATACAATAATGCAGACGATTTCGTAATTTATTCATTCGGGTCGAGAGTAAAAACATTTCGTTAAAATCCAGAAAGTCACTCTACGCGTTCTTTTATATAATATATTATAACATATACATACATTTTTCGTTTCACTCTATATAATATTGTCATTGCGTAACTTCGGTGTTAATAAATTGTCAAATATTTGATGATAAACTTTATGATTTATTTAATTACACTTAGTATGGTTGTTATCAACAACGAAACGTTTTGTTTACAGTGATATTGATATTTGATATTCATTATTTGTTATTATCACGGGTAGCCTCGACTAACGTGTTATCATTATTTTTTTTCACTATTCCTGTAATAGTTGTGACGGGCAACCGATGTACGTTGCAGAGCATACTTTTGCACACCCAATAGTCGCCGCGGTATTGTGTTAATCACAACCTATGACGGTATAAGTAAATATTTTTTTTTTCATCGAAAGTATCATCAAAAATCCGAAACCATCACTTACGTACACGACTTAAGCTTACTTATTAATTATCATATTATCGGAGGCATTTATTAACGAATTAACGAATAACTGATGGTGGCGGTACGTCGGGCGTTGCACAACGCCGCGCTCGTTTTTACAGATGGTTGTCGGACCGCGGTTAGGAAAATTATATGATATACAATCGATTCATGCTCGGAGTTGGAACGACGACTATGAAATTATTACGCATTTGCTCGTTTCGCTCGTCGGATCGAGAGATAATTGTGTTTCCCGAGATGCGTCAACGAGTAACGGTGTATATGCCTATATAATAATATACTATGTGCTCGTCGGGCAGATGATTTTTTGCCGGAAATCCGACCGAATCTCTCCGTCACATCGTTAAATACAATAAACGCGCGTTTTAACGGACAACCGTAGTTCAAAATATTGTATATGAATCGATCACTTCATGGTTTTTGAAAAATCCGCTAGCGATACCGACGCGGCGATCGTCGCAACTAAGATTAAATATTTTAATATCCTTCAGATATCTCTCGGCTGTAGTACTTGTTTTACAATAATGCCGAGTACTGCAGCACTACTACTGTTTATTAAAATGTATGGTTTTTCAAGTCTGTAAGCTGTTCGACGATAGCGGTCTGTTTTCGTTTTTAATTTCATCTCTGCCATGGCGACAGTAGTGATAATATAATAATATGTCGCGTGTGGCGTGCAGTCGTAAAGCAGCGTGCGCGCACGCGTGTTTGTTATACTCGATCATCAAAAATAATAAAAATGATACTATAAATAATAAATACACACTGCAGCGCGTTCCAATCACCATAGTAGTAGCTCGTTGAATAATTAATATCAATTTATCGCACGGATCGATCGCGACCGCCGACTCTCGGTGTACACAAATATAAGCCCCCCCGAATGTACTGACTGAAGATAATTGGAAACGAAAAAACTCCGAGCAATTATACGCGTTTCGTCGTCGTAAAATGAAATAATTGTCTTCGACATAATACGCGCCTAATTATTTTTAATGTATTTGTACTAGTACACACTATACGTACCTACACATTTTCGAGAGCCGTTCAGCTACCAATGTTATAATTGTTAGAACTTATTGTTTGGGTCATCGGGGCCGCAGAGCGATTAGATTCCAATTCAAATCCAACCGTACGGTAATTAGAATTTTTTGTAAAAAAAAAAAAAAAGAGAGAACAATTAACTAGACTTCTAATTTTTAAGTTTTTTTAAATATTTAAATATTTATATAAATATTTACATCCATTTCGATCACATGTATTGCACCTTATTGATTTGGTGATTGACTGAGCACCAATAATTCGAAGTCATCTAAATGATAAATGATTGTGTATGTTGTATTGTTGTCATTATTTATTTTAATATAATTTGTCATCAAATCTATGTGGTCGCAATTATTGTCTGTAGGGTAATGTTTTTAATTGTAATCAACCGATATCTAATGCCAGCAACGTTAGCAATATTACATCCAGCCAAACTAATTTTGCATTATTAGCTTTGATACAAGAGTCAATTAACTAATCGACTATCAAACAATAATGTGAAAACCTTTTCTGTGCTTGTTTGTTGGTATTTTACGATAAATTAATTTTAAACGAGTTACGATCATTTTTAAATTATTATTTTTTACTTAGGCACCAACTATTTATACACTATAGATACGAAGGTTTATTATCTTTAAGTTTGATAAAAGGTTAATTCAAACTGTTATTAAAACCAAAAATACAAAATCGATTCTGCTGAATGCAAATTCAATAATATGTTGTACGTTTGTGAGAAAGAGATTATAGATACTACGGAGGACACACTGTGACTGAAATGCGTCCTCTCAACGAGAAATAGCTGTCTTTAAACCGCTGTCAAGAGCGATGGCTATAATTTTTAGATGATAATAATTATTATATTATGATAACTATAATGGATATAGCACCATGTATCCAAATGGTATCATAATAATAATAATAATAATAATAATAATAGTTGAAATTTTATCGTAGTATCACATCAATTATAATTTGTCATTATTTTTTGTTGTCGTAGTCGTGGGCGGCACACATCCACAGCAATAATAATAATATAATATATAACGTGCACGTGTCATCGGTCAGACAAGTACTCGACATGTTCTATATCAACGGAAACGATTAATTTACTTGTCTCATACAAATAATATAACGGATTATTTATTGTTTATCCGCGTAAAAATGATAAAATTTCAAATTATTGTAACATGTATATCGAGTGTTCTTGTGTGTCACATATTATTATTGCAATCCTAATTTATTATTTGAATCACACACCAATCGATTAATACGAGTGATTTTCTTACGGAGATGAACTGTAATATGGTTTATTGTTTATACGCGTAATTTAACCACTCGAGGCTGCAAAACTCGTTCCCACGACGTTCTACACTTGTACCGCTCATTATATAAACGTCCGGAAACGTGTGACGACAATATTATATGTAATTGTATAAATATATGTTGTACAAACGTACTATGTAATTATACGCGCATAGCAACGTGTCCTTTATCAATGGTCGAGGAAGTATGGCAACGCCGTGCTATAAAGATTTGTGTTAGTCATTAGTGAATTAAGTAAATAATTAAATATACTTGGAACTTTTGTTAATATTGATATTATTAAATTAATAAATTGTATATTAATACTATAATATTCTACAGGTGTATGGGGACGTTTCAGTATATCACATAATATAATTATATTTCACTTTAAATTTTATATTTTACATAATTAGAAGATATGTGCTGTATAACAATGATAATAATTTAACCAATTAAAGTTTTTATTCAGGAATATTAAAAAATATGCGAATTTTTTGATTTTTGACGTTTCACAAAAAGTACACAACGATAATCAAACCATAGGTCGTATTGAATTTGAACTTTATTTACATAAGCTGTAATAGATGTCTAAATTTAATAATCACCCTTTTGTTTTTTTAGTATTTTTTTAGTGTTATTAAAGTTTATTCAAAAATTTAACTCTATTATCAATGTAACCTAAATAAAGTTTCTCTCTTCCACATGGAAAAGAAATGATATGAATTTTAGTGTTCTGCGATGCGTGATCGTCTTTTCTGTACAGTCATTTTTCGACTGTTTAAATGGTTTAATTTTATTCTTTACGCAAGTAGAAATTGTCTGTATTTTGCCCATTAAAATAGATATCCGACTCGGACATTCTTATATCTCGGTTTGAGTAAAATTTTCTAACTAGCCTAATGGCAGCCAACTGTGGACATTAAGATATTGTATACCATGTTATAATATTATAGTTTACAATTTACTATTATTTTTATTATTAATTATCAATATGTATTAATTCATTTAAAAAAATGAAAAGCAACAGGGAGAGTGATTATCTTCAAGGGGAAGCATGAAATCACATCAAATATCAACTTTTAATTTATTGATCAAAATTTAAGTATTGAATTAACCACATTGATATTGAATCATTTATACCAATTGATTTTAATTTAGCAATTAAATCTATGTGAAACGAGCCTAACGTGTATTAGATCTGAGTAATAATGACTTTACCTATATTATATTACATACTTATCTCAAGTTTGGATTCACCATCAACTTGTGATTGGATATGTAACAATATGTTTTTTTTATTCATATTGTCATTATGTTTTCGATTTGTCATCGATTGTCATTATCGAATTAGATTTTGTAATACGCCAACATAATAATATTTTAAATCTTAAATACTACGAAATATTATTCTATTATGATATGTCACCGTTGTAAAAAGTATTACACATCAGCAAGACAATAAATTGATAACGATGTTGTTTGTTTTTCAGCTTTCCGGACTAGCACTGTTGGCCTTGGGTTTGTTTACCCGGTATTATTCAACAAAAACTGAAGAGCTGGCCAATAAAGCATCCGGAGATGCAGCTGGTCTCGCGGCTTTGGCATTCATCATCATTGGCGGCGCTGTGTTTATTGTATCGTTCTTTGGCTGTTGCGGAGCTATCCGGGAAAGTCATTGCATGATTACAATGGTATGACATATAATGTATTATACTATTATACTAATACACGTATACACACACTATAAAATAGGATGATCTATTAACCTGGCAAGTCATTACACTAATTTTAAAATCGACCATTGTGTTTTAAAAAAAATAAATATTTTTATATATAATTTGAAATTTATTAGGAAAATTAGATTATTTTGTTGATCATTTAAGAAGTCGGAATTTCGTTTATTTAAAATAAATATTTTTGCTACTTAACCTTTTTAAGTTTTAATCATATCTTAATCAATAATTCATTTAAATCTTTTCAGTACACACATTTTACACTTTTAAACCCTTCTTTTAAATTCTTTCTCGATTGATACATTACTTAAAATATAAGAGTAGTAATTTTCTTGAAACATTATAAATGTAATATGAATATTCAGTCAAAAAGTTTGTATGCTCTCTTTTGCAAGAATAGTTTTTTCCCTTATCATAATATTAACGTCATTCAAATGCCTCGAATACGTATGTTTTGTTGATAATAAATTGGTCTTTTGAATTCTTGTGTTTATAATAATAATCAATTTCTAATCTTTGTTTAGATGATTATCTTAATTTTCTAATCTCATTGACTATAAGCTAATGGTTATAGTTATAAGTTTACTAACTACGATCCCTCTTTTTCACTCTAAATTACATAAATATATTATCTACTTTTTTGTGTATTAATTAGCTTTTTACAATAAATTACCCAATTTTTTGAGCTTGTCCTGAAATTTTGTAAAATAAAACAAATTATAACAACTAAATATCATGTATTCCTTCGAATGACCATTTATACGTACGGTTGATTTTATTCGGATTAAATGTAATTGGTTAGTCGTGCGTACCGATTTAAAATTACAGGTTGTATGAATAAGCGATATTTTGTTTTTATTTTACGCATCCAGTTAAAATATTTGCTGCTTATATGTGATTTATAACATTACGTTGAATGAACAGTGAATCAAAAAAGTGTTTTTTAAATTTAATATTTAAATTAAATACGCCATTATTTAGCTTTATGAAGTTTAAGCAAAATTTCGGTCTCTCAGTTGTTTTATTATTTCCATGAATTATCATGCGTTCCCAGGAATTATCCATTCTTAACTTCGGGAAATGAACATAATTTAAGCAAGCATTTTAGATTCTGAGTGAAACGATGAATGTATTGATTTTATCATGATATGTTTTTTTTTTTTTATGAATTAATCATGATTTGTTGTTGATAAAAAAATTTGATATTCAATAACGAGTGTGGTTTAGGTTTAGATATAAAATCAGATCTAGTTTGTACTTTGAATAGGTCAAACTTAAAAATCCCCAGTATTTATCTGCAGTCGAATGCATGGTGAAAACTAATGACTCCGTTGTGTCTGTACTTACGGAAATAATGGATATATTTTTATTGTCGTCAACCGATGAGCTCAGGTACCATCGTTTCTGCGGCCGTACATCAGAGTTATTTCGGTCAGTCTCGATATCGTTGTCTTCTTTTTTTTTCTTTATTTTACGTTTAAGGTGTTTTCCGGAACGTTTTTTATAAATATTTTTTGTATAGAATGCACAAAAATCTTTAGATATAGTCTATTTCTATTACATAATATGAAAATAAATATTATATTAAAAATTGTCCCCATGAAATTCTATAAGAATATCGCCCTCACAAAAATTACGAATAGCATAACAAAATACTATAAAAAGCCATTAGGTGTAATATAATTGAAATAAAATACTTCCCTTTTCTAATTTAATCATTAATTATTTTTATATATTTTATTGAAAAAAACATTTTTAATTTTAAATTATAAAATGTTGAATACCTGTTTACCCGTATAGTAACTATTTCTTGATTTTTATTACTTTAATATATCATAAAGTATACTTAGTGATAAGGCTGAGACTGACAGACAGTCTTCGCTCAAAATCGTTTTTGTACACAATTATGTATCATTGAGTTTAAATTTAACTCACTTATAGCAGTGATTTACTCGACACCTAATGTACAATAAAACGTTACTCATTTGCTTATATTTTATTATTAAATCTATAATAAATTTACTATAGTCACTAGTTATGTTTTTAATTGAGTTTTATTTTATCCTATTACTAATATATTACTATATTATAATTTATTATGGATTAATTAAAATATGGATTTTGAATATATTCTTAATTAACTTTTAATGCATATAATACACACTTACTATACATATTATAAACTGTATAGTTCAATTATGAACTTATCAGATCACTTTCCATATTGACATATTCGTGGTTTAAAGCTATTTGGTATTTAAAATAATTTTATTTGCAATATCATAAAATATTCAGTGGTCTTCGGCCTAAATAATACTCACCCTATATGCTACAGTGTCACTGAACTTTTTATACTTTAGTCCACTACTTATCTCACTCCCAACTATTATCAAATCTAGGGTATGCACATATTATATTAATTTAATATACTATAACGATGCTTATACAATATATTTTTAGTATGCAATGTTCCTGTTGGCGTTCTTCCTGTTGGAAGTAGCTATTGGAGTTTTCTTGTACGTGAACCGGGGACAAGTGGAATCGATCACTCGAAAATCTTTAACTACAGTTTTTGATGATTATTCAAATAAAACGGAATCACGCGCTTTTGTTGATGAAATACAATCTGACGTAAGTATATAAACATTTAAATTTGTTTTTTTTTTATTGTCGTTGATATAATATAGGCTCTTAAACAAGTGAGATTGTGATTTGTATCGTGGTTTCCTAATTCCGTTTATGTAAAACGAAAACATATGGGTTAATAACCGATAATTAATAAATATTCCAACTATGGCCAATACCTATGATAATTTATAAGTTTTAATTGTTTTTTTTTTGTTTGTAACAATGTAATTGCTATATGTGAAAAAGTCATAAAGTTTAATTGATTTTTGAGATTTCGAAAATATATGGATGGCACGTGTTTTATAGAAGAGAATAAGAAAGCTTGCTTAGCACAATAGACAGCTTTTTCATTTTCATTTATAGAGAAATAATCAGGAATTTATTCAAATTAACCGGAGTTATCCTTGTCGTAAGAGTTTTAAGCAAGAGAAATATGTTTCTGTAGATGTAGATAAATAATTAATTACACGGCTCATTTCACCAATTTTCATTACAATAATTGAATACACTGTCTTTGGAATAAAATTAAATATATTATTAGGTTTACCAATCTATCTATTTTATTTTGTCAAAGCAATTGCGATCGTTGTGTGGATCATTGGTAGTTTATGAGTGAATCATCATTCGTGGATCCTGCAGGTCAATAGGTCTTTGTACTTTATTCCTGACGCTTTCAATAAACTTTTGAAAACAGTTACATTACATTAGTATATTATGTGTATATAGTGGTGTGACAATTTCAGATATTATTTATACACTTGTTTTCGGATTATTCAGATTGAAACCAAACATTTAATAATCGATTCATTTTATGTATTCTTAGTTCCACTGTTGTGGTGTAGACGGACCAAACTACTGGACTGAACGTAACGCGGCTGCTATACCCCACACTTGTTGCCTCAATGATGGCGGTCAAGGAACGACATGCTCTAAGGCCCAGGCGTGGCAGGATGGTTGTCTGCAAAAGTCTATTGACTTGGTTAAGGACAAGTCAGGCATGCTGTTCAAGATCATTATGGTTATCGCAGGTGGAGAGGTAAGCATGACTACGAGTTGAAATGTTTACTTTATACTATATAGCTTAGGTTTGTAATGAAAAATAATGTAGCTAAGAACTATGTAAACGTGATAAAAAAAAAAAAAAAAAATTGTTTTTGTTATATTACAATATTACACATTATTAGAATCTGTCTATATTAATATTACGTACATATTTATAGAAAAATGTTGTTAGTTAACATTTTATCTATTGACATGGTTATCATAGGTATATATTATTTAGTTAATTTATTTTAAATGACTTTTTAGTCTAAGTAAATATGAGTTGTATTTACTAACGAATTTCTTGATGAACAAATTATTTTATATGCTGAGATTTTTAAATTTACTCAAAAAAAATAAAAAAAAAAATAGCAATATCTGGAACCAATAAATTTGGATAATAAATTTAGATTTTGACTGTGGTAAATATGTAATAATATTTATTTAAAGGGGATTAACTATGTAGTTTTAAAAAATATCTAATAAAATAATATATGATACATACATACTCAATTGGAGTCTGTAATTCTGTCGAGATCAAATAATAATATAAGACGTGTTAATAGATAGTTAAAAATTGATAATTTATCCTTCTGAATGGCTAGTTTATACATTGTAGAACTTATAATGATGATAATGATGTAACCAAAAATATATATATTTACTTAAATCCCATGTATTATTTTGTTTCAGTTGATCGGTATTATTTTCGCGCTGTGTCTGGCTAGCAGCATACGGAATGAAGAACGTCGACAAGGATACGCTTAAAAAATGTGGCAGCGAAATATGATACATAATTATACAAATTAGTATACATTTTTGTCATTCTCTATCGAAGAAAACTATTCCCTTTTCTTAACATATTATAAGCCTTTTTGTTGTCCTGATTCGAAACCATCCAACGAACCAAAATCATGATAATAATTTTAAAATTTATTTTTTCGTGTCACAATATAATACATAAACACTCACAAGCACACACACACATAAATGAACTCTTGAATTTTGATTTGTAAAATAATTTTTTTTTGCGTTTTATACCTGATATAATTTAAACATCTTAATAAATTATTTATATATGTTATAATAATGTACGAAAAAAAGAAAGATTACGATTATGTATAAAGCACTTTTTTTTTATCTTAAGGTATTTATTAATTGTAAAAAATGAATATCTGTTTTTATTTTTATTTTATAAATTATAATATTATTATAATGATTATAACTTTTATTAAATTATTCTATGTATTCAAGTAGAATATTTTTGTTTTTTTTTTTTTTTTTTTTTAATTTTCTTGATTATAATTCTATACATTATTATACAGATTGTAGTATTTGATGTCAATCCATATAATCCCAAATAAAATTTCCATTTTTGACTTCTTTTCATCAATGGCCATTGCGTCCATAGACGGACACGTGTTCTAATTGCCTAATCATTTGTTTTTGGTTGCACGCTCACACACATTTTAACGATTTAACGGTTGACATACAAAATAATATTATAGTAAGCTAGTACCAATGTAATGATATTATAATATTTGCGATTTTTTTTTTGCCATAAGTTAATTTAACCTCCCATATTACTATAAGAGAAGCATAGATTACAAATAGTCATATATGTAGATATATTATGAATAAAATATAAAATATCCTTAAAAATATGATAGACCGTCTAGAATAATTGTTTTTCTTATGTATTGATTAATTATAAACATATATGCATAACAGTAATCTATTCTTAACGACGAAACAAATTTGAAACTAATATTATAATACAAGCATACAGCAGAGCGAGTTCTCTGATTTTTCTTTTAAAGCACAACAAATATTTTACTTTTAATTAATTAACCTTATCGTGTCGAATTTTCGTATCATTTTTTAGCAGGTACTGTGATAGAAAAACCATTTTCAATGTTAAAAAAATTGTTGTAATTTGTATCTTCCTATTATGTAAATAGATAGTAATTTTAAAAATAAATGACTGACTCACGGTTGATAAGTATGAAAATTTAATTTATAATAGTATTATAACATTAATTTATCGTATTAAAAATATTTTACATAATAATTCGTACATGATTATAAATAATTGAACATTATAAACAGTAGATTGATTTTGTCAAAAATAATTATCATTAAAGTTTTTGATTTTCATATTCTGTTAATATTTCAAATCAAAATATATTCAAATGTATTGAATATAGTCTGATGGTAGACTATTTAATGTGCTTGAAATGCTATATGTTCGTGGTAAAAATTATAAAATTCTGTAACTATTCGTATAAACGCGCCAATGTTCAAACAAATCAAATTTAGTCAATCAAGTCTAGGTATTAACTTGTATTCAATGTACACAAATCATAAACATAAATAACTGAAATCGTCGACAGAAATAAATATAATTGCTGTAATTTGACCACGGTTAGAAAAAAAATCAAAGTGATTTCAATGGTTGGTGATGACATTAAATTTTTTACTTCAAAGTATTTTTTATTTGAATTTACATCCTGATTACACATTCATACATATTAGTTTTGTCAAAAAGTAAAAACGTTTATAACGATTAAATTTAAATACTTCTATTTGTTTATATAACATGTTAAAAATACGTTTGTAGAGAACCAGGTACAGGGTTATTTGGAAAATAAATTATTAGTTGAGGGTAAGGTTGTTGATTATTTGCCGATTTGTGTTCAATACTTCACAATCTATTTATTATAATTCGTTTTCCTCATTGTTTCATTATATTTATTAGTATACAATATAAATATCTTTAACCTTATACATTTCAAAAATAGCCATTGCAGATTATGGTAGTATTTTTATCACATCAATTGTTTTAAAGGTGATTGAGTTATATTTATCAGTTATTTTTGTTCCATCTACAGTTTAGAGTACTGGACAAGCCTAATATGAAACACTGTATAATATCTGACTACCCCTGGGATCATATTGTTAATGATTTAATTTTAAAACAATTATTTATGCTACAGTTATCAATATTTATAATAGGTTTAGGTGTTAAAATACTATAGTATTAAAAAAGTATATTTTTAATGAAAGTATTTGTGTTAAAATATAAGATATTTGTATTCAATAACCATCCCTAGATCTATAATTTAAATAATCCATATAGCGGTACAACTATCGATTGGTAATCATAGATAGTCGCATGATTTAAACGTGAAAAAGAAAACATAATTAACTAACACTAAATTTATTTGAGTTAAATAGTAAGTGATTTTGACGAAAACTTATCAATTGGAGATCTTCTGATAATCAAAAATATATTTGCATCGTCGAAAAAAAAAGAATGACAACCGAGCTAAAAAAAAAAAAAAAAATAGAAGACATATCATTGAAAAAGAGTTTTTGTAGTTTTGTATTTATTTATCTTTGCAATATTACAGGTAGTATTGTTAAAACAAGAAATATGTAAAAATCTTTTGGACAGATATGATACCGTATATACCATAACTAACTAATAATTTGAAATATAATAAGCACGTTTACTATGAGTTTACGAGAGAACTTATACAGGATTTTATTCAACTTAAAAAATGTCCATGGATACTAAATTAAGTTAACTTATTTAGAAATAGATTGAGATTGATTTTTTTCTTTAAAATAAATAGAATTTTCTAATTGGATATGATAATTTGTACAAGTATTTTAAACTGTTTAATCCAAGCATTTGTAAAGATTGAAAGGGGTAATACTACTTTTCTAATAAACAATATTTAATGCCTAAGAATGCATTGTTTGCATAATGTATAAATATTTTTGTTGGAAACATAGTATTGTAAATGAATAATATTAGATGAAAAAATATACTAATAACTGCAATAAAGTGGAAGTAAAATCTAAAATATTCGTAAAAAGACATTGCAATTTAGACAAGTTTCGCGTTTTTACATGTATGTTATTTTCTGACATACGAATAAAATTTTCAGATTGGAAAGCAATTTCTCCAGAGTGCCTCGAAAGTAATACACTTAGGCAGCATCTTGAAAATTGAAATCTGCTAAAAGTCATTGGTCTACGTTATTTTCGAAACTTTAAATATTTTATGTTATTAAAAATAACTGTGTTATGATATTTATGTATATAAGTATCTATATTTGTTCGATAAAGCATTATAATTGACAATAATATTATAATACGAAAATCACTTTAAAACACGTCGGACAAAAATATTTATTTTGAATGAAAAAAAACTTAATGTAATATATATAATATGTATTTATTCACACACACAATATCATCGATACGACAATAATAGTTATAATAATATAGACTATATCATATAATAATGATCCACATTCGAATTATCATAATATATAATATTAATATTTTATGCACATTTAATATTATTAGACAAAATAATAATAAGAATAAGAAGAAAACACGCGGTTTTTTTCACGAGGTACAAGCGGCGCCGACAAATGAAATAACTACAATAATAATACGTATAATTATAATACATAATAATATATAAGTGTAACGTATGTAATAATGTTTAACACAATGAAATGATAATACTATTCGTCGTATACCGCCTCCGACGACTATACAATATTAAAAGTAGATACATGCGCGTACTCGCACTAATTGTATTACAATATTAATATATGATATACACTTAAACTACGCAAAAAACAGCGAACAAAAACTCAGTTCGTGGCTAAAACGTACGTTTTTTACTACACGGACAGTAGTTTACCTTGCACCGCATCATGTACCTACCCATAACTACTTTTTTTCGTAAAAATATATTTTAAAACTTTTTTTCTCGTAAATAACGGCGGCGGCGGCGGCGGCCATTGCGTCGGTTGGTTTCGAGGTCGATATAAACGTCCGACACGGAAATCGTACCGAATATTATTATCTCGTCGTTATAGTCTTTAATAATAATAGTATTAATAATAATAATAATAATAGTATAGTGTACAGTGTGACATAAGTATAATAATAAAATATTTAAAAAAAATAAACGCCAAACGCGTAGGCGGCGGCGTCGGAAGGATTGGCTCGCGCGACGGATCGTACAAACATTTTACAGTACAATAATATAACTACGACGATCGCCGCCGATCAAATCGCCGCGTGTCGAGTGGACGGCCTGCATCGGTGTACTTCGTTCAGTTACGTATTGTAGTACTTGCCACGCTACGGCCAGTCGGGGCGGCTTCGGCGTGCAGGCGGCAGCGGCGGCGCGAGGTGGACGCGGTCCCGGCGTGGACGCGCAGACGGCCGGCGCGGCGACGGCGGGCGGTCGCGAGTCGGTGCTCAGCGACGTGGT